ACCCCCTTCTCCCTATACTGTGACTCACTTTATCAAGCACCAGTTTGTCCTGTCCCCCTCCCCCCCTCTCCTCCCTCGTCCCTATGCCGTGACTCACTTTATCAAGCACCAGTTTGTCGGCATGCCCTTATTTAACAGACTGGTCTGTGGTACTCCTCATATGAGTGCCAGAAGATTTGAGGTGTTACAAAGAGTAACAAACCAAAAAAAAGTAGGGGAGATAAGGACGATGGATGTTTCATAGGAAAGAAGAAGCAAACCACACCAGAGCACCCCCCCTACCCACTATGCACTATACTGTGACTCACTTTATCAAGCACCAGTTTGTCGGTGTTCACGGTGACCACCAGGTGGTGCAGGAAGTCGTGCGGCAGGTTGTTGGACAGCAGGAACGGCACCAGGATGGACGAGCCCGACTGTGACCTGGGGGACAGTTCAGTAGAGGTTCTAGTTAAATTTAAGTGAGAGAGTTCTACTGCGCTTGCAACGCAAATTGGTCATATTATGCGTGATGTAGTGTGGTGGAAACGAGACACTTGTCAGTACAAATGATGAAATTGAAGAAGCAACCAACATTTTTTATACAGCCCTTGGGAAATGTTTATCAAATCTTTGTTCAATTTTTGGATGATTACCTGTTATACTCATTCAAAAACATATTTCTGTGCCGATATTATTGAAAAAACTTAAGGAAAGGAACAAAAAAATGCAAATCAGCAGCTTCCAAGGACATCAAAGCTTTGGAAATCATCAAACTTTGGCAGCTATTTTCTCGCTTATTTTTATTTGGACATTAGGCAACCCCCAACCCTCCATCAATTGCAAATATCTGAACTTCTATTCAAGATAGATGGGTATTTTTTCCATCAAACGCAAGGCAAATGAATAGGTTTTTAGATTAAACCGATAATTCCATATGCCCAAAAATTGACGAGTGCCTGACTCCACCACAAAAATGTCATTTAGCGCTGACTTTGAGTAAAGTAAACAGACACATCAACGTAAAAAGTCTTTTAGTGCCAGGAAAAGGCAAGACACAAAGACAGAAACAACAGAAGGAAAGACAAAAAAGAAGGACCTATCAGTGGCACCCTCCAACCACCTACGCAAACATTTCAAATACATCCACACAAGACCAAGATTTTTTAAATTTTAGTAAGAGTTTTACAGCACTTGCAACACAATAAGGTCATATAAGTGACCAAGATTAGAGGAGTTACAAGAGAGTAACAAACACAAAAGAGAAGAATCGGAGATAAAGACGATAGATGTTTGATAGGAAA